ACTGCTCTGCATGCCATCCTCTGCCCCGCTTCACGCCTGCCTAACTGTAGAGGAGACTGAAAAGCAGAGTTGTACCACTGCCTCTTCTAGCACAAGTAAATTGATGAAAAGGCAAAAGATGTGTCCTGCTACTCTGGGGGGCCATCCCTGTCATTGAAAGCTTATCTACACACTTACCCGAGGTTCCTTCCCCTGCACCGGGTTTGCCCATGCTTTACTGGTGGGACTGGCTAGACTGCAGTGGAGTTAAAAATGGGTCCTGGCTCACTGGGCAGCTGGATTCCCCCGACACCTGTTCCCCATACTCCTCCTCCTCCTTGCTGTTCATGGAAGGGGCTTGTGATTTGGGCTCCTTGGAGGTATCCACAGTGCTGTGGGGCGTGGTAGTGGGATCTCTGCGGAGGATAGCATGCAGCTCTTTGTAAAAGGGGCAGGTCTGAGGTTTGGCACTGGATTGCTGGCCTCTCTGGCCTTCTTGTATACCGGCCGCAGCTTGTTGGCTTTCACGTGGCCCTGCTGCTAGTCCCTGGTGTAGCCCTTCTCCTGCATCACCCCAGCAATCTGCTTGGATATGTCAACGTTTCTATGGCTGGATTGGATCTGTGCCTTCACAGCCTCTTTTCCTCACAGACCAACGGATCCAATATCTCCTGTCTATTGCAGGCAGGGGCGTATCTGGAGCATGCAGCCGGCATGGTCAGCTGGGCAGTTGCGCACAGCAATGGAGAGCTGCTAGGTGTGCTCACCATGCTGGGCAATCAGGAAAAGGAATTTCAAAAATTTGTGGGGTTTTAAAGGGAGGGGAGGGCTTTTGGGTTCTGTGACCCCTGGGCAGTGGAGGTCACAATGGTAACCAGAACTGTCCCTGTGGGTTATTGTGGGACAGCTTCTGGAGGGTCGACATAAGTAATGCAGTATCTACACTTATCCGGCATTGACCTAAATACATTCACTGTGACTCTACACTGCTCAGGGAGGTGGTGTTACTATCTCAGCCTAGCAGTGGGAGCCCAAATGAGTGTAGACACATGCACAGCTAGATTGATGTAAGGTGCCTTTTGTTGACCTAACCAAGTAGTGTAGACTGGGCCTTACACTGAGCCAGAGGTAAATATTAATATCAATACCTAGTGCCAAGGAAGAGAAGCACAATGATAAGAGAAGCCTGGCCAGAAACAGGCAGTTGTGTCCCAGACCCCTGGGAATCTATGATTAATGCATTCCTTGTGCAGGTAAAACTCCCACAGATATATGGGAATTCTGAATGCCCAAGACATAGAGTCATAGACTTTAAGGTCAGAAGGGACCATTATGATCGTCTAGTCTGACATCCTGCACAATGCAGGCCACAGAATGTCACCCACCCACTCCTGTAATAAACCCCTAGCCTATGTCTGAGCTATTGAAGTCCTCAAATCATGGTTTAAAGACTTCAAGGTGCAGAGAATCCTCCAGCAAGTGACCCGTGCCCCATGCTGCAGAGGAATGCAAAAAACTCCCAGGGCCTCTGCCAATCTGCCCTGGAGGAAAATTCCTTCCTGACCCCAAATATGGCAATCAGCTAAACCCTGAACATGTGGGCAAGACTCAGCAGCCAGACTCGCAGGAAAGAATTCTCTGTAGTAGCTCAGCTCCCACCCCATCTAACATCCCGTCACAGGCCATTGAGCATATTTACCGCTAATAGTCAAAGATCTATTAATTGCCAAAAATTAGGCTATCCCATTATACCATCCCCTCCATAAACTTATCAAGCTTAGTCTTGAAGCCAGATATGTCTTTTGCCCCCATTGCTCCCCTTGGAAGGCTTTTCCAGAACTTCACTCCTCTGGTGGTTAGAAACCTTCATCTAATTTCAACTCTAAACTTCCTGGTGGCCAGTTTATATCCATTTGTTCTTGTGTCCACATTGGTACTGAGCTTAAATAATTCCTCTCCCTCCCTGGTATTTATTCCTCTGATATATTTATAGAGAGCAATCATATCTCCCCTCAGCCTTCTTTTGGTTAGGCTAAACAAGCCAAGGTCTTTGAGTCTCCTTTCATAAGACAGGTTTTCCATTCCTCAGATCATCCTAGTAGCCCTTCTCTGTACCTGTTCCAGTTTGAATTCATCCTTCTTAAACATGGGACACCAGAATGGCACACAGTATTCCAGGTGAGGTCTCACAAGTGCCTTGTATAATGGTACTAACACCTCCTTATCTCTACTGGAAATGCCTCGCCTGATGCATCCTAAGACCGCATTAGTTTTTTTACGGCCATATCACATTGGTGGCTGATAGTCATCCTGAGAGCAACCAATACCCCGAGGTCCTTCTCCTCCTCTGTTACTTCCAACTGATGTGTCCCCAGTTTATAACAAAAAATCTTGTTATTAATCCCTAAATGCATGACCTTGCACTTTTCACTATTAAATTTCATCCTATTACTATTACTCCAGTTTACAAGGTCATCCAGATCTTCCTGTATGATATCCCGGTCCTTTTCTGTATTGGCAATACCTCCCACCTTTGTGTCATCCGCAAACTTTATTAGCACACTCCCACTTTTTGTGCCGAGGTCAGTAATAAAAAGATTAAATAAGATTGGTCCCAAAACCGATCCTTGAGGAACTCCACTAGTAACCTCCTTCCAGCCTGACAGTTCACCTTTCAGTATGACCCATTTGTAATCTCCCCTTTAACCAGTTCCTTATCCACCTTTCAATTTTCATATTCATCCCCATCTTTTCCAATTTAACTAATAATTCCCCATGTGGAACTGTATCAAATGCCTTACTGAAATCGAGATAAATTAGATCCACTGTGTTTCCTTTGTCTAAAATATCTGTTACCTCTCAAAGAAGGAGATCAGGTTGGTTTGGTATGATCTACCTTTTGTAAAACCATGTTGTATTTTGTCCCAATTACCACTGACCTCAATGTCCTAAACTACTTTCTCCTTCAAAATTTTTTCCAAGACCTTGCATACTACAGATGTTAAACTAACAGGCCTATAGTTACCCGGATCACTTTTTTTCCCTTTCTTAAAAATAGGAACTATGTTAGCAATTCTCCAGTCATACGGTAAAACCCCTGAGTTTACAGATTCATTAAAAATTCCTGCTAAGGAGCTTGCAATTTCATGCATGCAGGATTAGCCCCTTAAACTCATTGTTAAGGTAAGGAAATAATACTGAATAAACATGGTTTTGCTTATGGTCCAGCTGGAGTGAGTAAATCTCCCAGAATATTTGATGTTATTTATTTAGATTCATACAAGAGTACTTGTCTTAGAACCTTGTCCCAACATGCATTTCTCATCCTTCCTGCATGAGAACCAGCATGGATTAATCCTCAAGAAATGTCTCTATTGCTGGCATGTAAAAGTCCGTGTTCAGAATCTGAAGGGGATTTTTGCAGGATGTCACACAAAAACAGAGATACGTTCTTTCTACTGTGATAAACTCAGGACAGACAGCTGCAGGGACTGGGGTCAAGGAATAAACATTCCCAGAAGGTTAAAAGGCCCTCCTCCCTAGCAGACTGGGGAGGGGTGACTACAGGTCAATCAGGTTCAGCTGAGAAGGTACCAGAGGTCAATTAGGATCAGCTGAGAGGGAATTACCTGAGGTCAATTAGGATCAGCTGAGAGGGAATTACCTGAGGTCAGTTAGGATCAGCTGAGAGGGAATTACCTGAGGTCAATCAGGATCAGCTGATTCCAACTAAGGGCTGCCTGAGACCTTTTTAAACCCTCCCCTGTGGGGAGAGGGAGGGGAGAGAGAGAAGGAGTCAAGCTACCAGTAGACGAGGAGCAGCAAGAGAGCAAGCCTCTCCAGGAGGGGCGGCTGTATTTCCTCCCATAAGGGAGAAAAACAAGCCCAAAAGACTAGCTGAGAGAACAATGGACTGCCCCTGTGCAGCTAAGAGGGACTGTTTTACCCCAAGCCTGTCTCACCAAGGCTAAAAGCAGCGCAGGCTGGTGAGACCGAGAAGGTGCCTTGCCACACTACACTTTGCTGCTGGAGCTACATGTGTATGCACCAAGATGAATATGAAGCCTGAGACCCAGATCCTGCAAAGACTTACTCATGAGCTTAGCCTGATGCACTGTGAGGCATCCCATTGAAGTCAATGTCAGTGCGTCAAGTTCAGAAAGCCTTTGCAGGAGTGGGGCCTAAAACTTCTTTCTGAGGGTATGTCTACACTACGGAATTAGGTCAAATTTATAGAAGTCGGTTTTTTAGAAATTGGTTTTATATATTCGAGTGTGTGTGTCCCCACAGAAAATGTTCTAAGTGCATTAAGTTCATTAACTCGACGGAGTGCTTCCACAGTACAGAGGCAAGCGTCGACTTCCGGAGCGTTGCACTGTGGGTAGCTATCCCACAGTTCCCGCAGTCTCCGCTGCCCATTGGAATTCTGGGTTGAGATCCCAATGCCTGATGGGGCTAAAACATTGTCTCGGGTAGTTCTGGGTACATATCGTCAGGCCCCCGTTCCCTCCCTCCCTCTGTGAAAGCAAGGGCAGACAATAATTTTGCGCCTTTTTTCCTGAGTTACCTGTGCAGACGCCATACCACGGCAAACATGGAGCCCGCTCAGGTAACCATCACTGTATGTCTCCTGGGTGCTGGCAGACGCGGTACTGCATTGCTACACAGTAGCAGCAACCCATTGCCTTCTGGCAGCAGACGGTGCAATACGGCTGGTAACCGTCATCGTCATGTCCGAGGTGCTCCTGGCCACATCGGCCGGGAGCGCCTGGGCAGACACGGGCGCAGGGACTAAATTTGGAGTGACTTGACCAGGTCATTCTCTTTAGTCCTGCAGTCAGTCCTATTGAACCGTCTTACGGTGAGCAGGCAGGCGATACGGATTGCTAGCAATCGTTCTGTACCATCTTCTGCCGGGTAGGCAAGAGATGAGGCTGGCTAGCAGTCGTACTGTACCATCTTCTGCCGAGCAGCCATGAGATGTGGATGGCATGCAGTCCTTCTGCACCATCTGCTGCCAGCCAAAGATGTAAAAGACAGATGGAGTGGATCAAAACAAGAAATAGACCAGATTTGTTTTGTACTCATTTGCTTCCCCCCCTCCCCTGTCTAGGGGACTCATTCCTCTAGGTCACACTGTAGTCACTCACAGAGAAGGTGCAGCGAGGTAAATCTAGCCATGTATCAATCAGAGGCCATACTAACCTCCTTGTTCCAATAAGAACAATAACTTAGGTGCACCATTTCTTATTGGAACCCTCCGTGAAGTCCTGCCTGAAATTCTCCTTGATGTAAAGCCACCCCCTTTGTTGATTTTAGCTCCCTGAAGCCAACCCTGTAAGCTGTGTCCTCAGTCGCCCCTCCCTGCGTCAGAGCAACAGCAAACAATCGTGCATCTGAGTTGAGCGTGCTGTCCAGAGCAATCACAATGGAGCACTCTGATGGGGCTAAAACATTGTCGCGGGTGGTTCTGGGTACATATCGTCAGGCCCCCGTTCCCTCCCTCCCTCCGTGAAAGCAAGGGCAGACAATCGTTTCGCGCCTTTTTTCCTGAGTTACCTGTGCAGACGCCATACCATGGCAAGCATGGAGCCCGCTCAGGTAACCATCACCCTGTGTCTCCTGGGTGCTGGCAGACATGGTACTGCATTGCTACACAGCAGCATCAACCCCTTGCCTTGTGGCAGCAGACGGTACAGTATGACTGGTAGCCGTCATCGTCATGTCCGAGGTGCTCCTGGCCACATTGGCCAGGAGCGCCTGGGCAGACATGGGCGCAGGGACTAAATTTGGAGTGACTTGACCAGGTCATTCTCTTTAGTCCTGCAGTCAGTCCTATTGAACCATCTTATGGTGAGCAGGCAGGCGATACGGATTGCTAGCAGACCTATTGCATCATCTTCTGCTGGGCAGCCATGAGATGTGGATGGCATGCAGTCCTTCTGCACCGTCTCCTGCCAGCCAAAGATGTAAAAAATAGATGGAGTGGATCAAAACAAGAAATAGACCAGATTTGTTTTGTACTTATTTGCTTCCTCCCCCATCTAGGGGACTCATTCCTCTAGGTCACACTGCAGTCACTCACAGAGAAGGTGCAGCGAGGTAAATCTAGCTATGTATCAATCAGAGGCCATACTAACCTCCTTGTTCCAATAAGAACAATAACTTAGGTGCACCATTTCTTATTGGAACCCTCCGTGAACTCCTGCCTGAAATACTCCTTGATGTAAAGCCACCCCCTTTGTTGATTTTAGCTCCCTGAAGCCAACCCTGTAAGCCGTGTCGTCAATCGCCCCTCCCTCCATCAGAGCAACGGCAGACAATCGTTCCGCGCCTTTTTTCTGTGCGGACGCCATACCAAGGCAAGCATGGAGGCCACTCAGCTCACTTTGGCAATTAGGAGCACATTAAACACCACACGCATTATCCAGCAGTATATGCAGCACCAGAACCTGGCAGAGCGATACCGGGCGAGGAGGCGACGTCAGCCTGTTTAGCCACAGGCAAACAGCCCAGCAGGAATGGGCTCCTCTGAGTGTCCCCTGAAGAAAAGCACCCTATTTCAACCAGGTGACCATGAATGATATCTCACTCTCCTGAGGATAACACAGAGAGAAAAAGAACGGATGTTGTTTGAACGCCAGCAAACATACACTGCAATGCTTTGTTGTACAATGATTCCCGAGTACGTGTTACTGGCCTGGAGTGGTAAAGTGTCCTACCATGAAGGACACAATAAGGCTGCCCTCCCCAGAAACCTTTTGCAAAGGCTTTGGGAGTACATCCAGGAGAGCCGCGAATGCCAGGGCAAAGTAATCCTTTCACATGCTTGCTTTTAAACCATGTATAGTATTTTAAAAGGTACACTCACCGGAGGTCCCTTCTCTACCTGCCGAGTCCAGGAAGCAGCCTTGGGTGGGTTCGCGGGGTACTGGCTCCAGGTGCAGGGTGAGAAACTGTTCCTGGCTGTCGGGAAAACCTGTTTCTCCGCTTGCTTGCTGTGAGCTGTCTACAACCTCATCATCATCATCATCTTCTTCATCCCCAAAACCTGCTTCCCTGTTGCCTCCATCTCCATTGAAGGAGTCAAACAACACGGCTGGGGTGGTGGTGGCTGAACCCCCTAAAATGGCATGCAGCTCATCATAGAAGCGGCATGTTTGGGGCTCTGACCCGGAGCGGCCGTTCGCCTCTCTGGTTTTCTGGTAGGCTTGCCTCAGCTCCTTAAGTTTCACGCGGCACTGCTTCGGGTCCCTGTTATGGCCTCTGTCCTTCATGCCCTGGGAGATTTTGACAAAGGTTTTGGCATTTCAAAAATTGGAACAGAGTTCTGATAGCACGAATTCCTCTCCCCATACAGCGATCAGATCCCGTACCTCCCGTTCAGTCCATGCTGGAGCTCTTTTGCGATTCTGGGACTCCATCATGGTCACCTGTGCTGATGAGCTCTGCATGGTCACCTGCAGCTTGCCACGCTGGCCAAACAGGAAATGAGATTCAAAAGTTCGCGGTTCTTTTCCTGTCTACCTGGCCAGTGCATCTGAGTTGAGAGTGCTGTCCAGAGCGGTCACAATGGAGCACTCTGGGATAGCTCCCGGAGGCCAATACCGTCGAATTGTGTCCACAGTACCCCAAATTCAACCCAGCAAGGCCGATTTAAGCGCTAATCCACTTGTCAGGGGTGGAGTAAGGAAATCGATTTTAAGAGCCCTTTAAGTCGAAATAAAGGGCTTCATTGTGTGGACGGGTGCAGGTTTACATCGATTTAACGCTGCTAAATTCGACCTAAAGTCCTAGTGTAGACCAGGGCTGAGGCACTTTCTTACATTGAACATGGTACACTCCTAAAATAAAATGTGTCTTTTTCCTTTTTTTCAGGCCTTGATCTAACAGGTATATTTCTCTTTGCCATCTTGACTCTAATGACGCTAACAGCCAACCTGGTGTTTGTAGAGGAAGTGTTCTATATCTACAAGAAAACCCCCTCCTCTAAAAGGACAATTTTTATTTGGATAAATGCAGCGGCTCCGGTAAGAGCAGGGAGAAAAAAATTCAATTGAATATCAAAAAGACCCTTTCTCTAAAGATGCTGTAGTTAATGCATAAACCTCTTTTATTTCTGACCCCCTCCTGTCTTTCTGTCCAGGTTATAGCTACTACATCATGCGTCGGGATGTGGATTCCTCGCTCAACAATGTTTACAGATTTCACTGCAGCAGTGTATGTATTCTTGTTTCTCTGAACCCTGAATTTCCTGCCTTTAAACAGCCTCTAGCATTAGGTAAACATAGTCATTTTGAAAATTTAATAATAGATTTTTAGTTTGAGATGAAATCTCTTGGCAGCTGTTTTAGCAGGGAGGGAGAAAAATAAAAAAACAAATTCCCAGTACTACAGCTCCCTTAGTGTGGGAACTGCAGAATGAAAGAAAATAATTGATTCCTTTGATTGGCAGCAACCTTGAAGTAGCAGAGTCATTCCTTTATCTCTCTCAATGCCATGTAGAATGAGACTCTGACCTACGACTTTTCACTGTGCTTTTATTAATGATGCACTGTATGGGCCTTTTATTAATGATGGCAAGTAAACCTTCAGTGAGTATATCAATGAGAAAATGTTCCATACATGTCCTGATAAAAGCTCTGGGTGAGGGTTTGACAGCTGTGACATGTAAAGGGGAGGATGAAGAATTGTGGTCTCTGCTCCCTGGAGGTAATGGTGCAAGCCTCTAACTTTAAGGCAGAAGCTGAAAGGTTGAAGGTTATAGTGTGGGATTTTTCAAAGCTGTCTAAGTGATTTAGGAGCACAAGTTCCATTGGCAAGGCAATGGGAATTGTGCTCCTAAATCACAAATGTTTTTTCAGATCTCCCCTTTAACTCCTCGTGACTTCTGGCTGCATTTACTACGAGTCTGAGATGGAATAAAACAAGATGGAGCAATGCTTATTATTATTAGATTCCCAACTTTAACTCTAGAAGTATGCGTGATGCTAAAAATACGTATAAAAAGAAAACAAAATAGTAAGAATGGCCATACTGGGTCAGACCAAAGGTCTATCTAGCCCATCGAGCTCAGGATCTGAGTCCCTGTGGTGGACACTGTAGAATTTAATTTCAGAAAGGGGAACTACACAAAAATGAGGAGGTTAGTGAAACAGAAATTAAAAGGTACAGTACCAAAAGTAAAATCCCTGCAAGCTGCATGGAAACTTTTTAAAGACACCATAATAGAGGCTCAACTTAAATGTATACCCCAATTTAAAAAACACAGAGAACCAAAAAAGAGCCACCGTGGTTAAACAACAAAGTAAAAGAAGCAGTGAGAGGCAAAAAGGCATCCTTTAAAAAGTGGAAGATAAATCCTAATGAGGAAAATAGAAAAGAGCATAAACTCTGGCAAATGAAGTGTAAAAATATAATTAGAAAGACCAAAAAAGAATTTGAAGAACAGCTAGCCAAAGACTCCAAAAATAATAGCAAAATTTTTTTTAAACACATCAGAAGCAGGAACGCTGCTAAACAACCAGTGGAGCCACTGAACGATCAAGATGCTAAAGGAACACTCAAAGACGATAAGGCCATTGTGGAGAAACTAAATAAATTCTTTGCATCAGTCTTCACTGTTGAGGATGTAAGGGAGATTCCCAAACCTGAGCCATTCTTTTTGGATGACAGATCTGAGGAACTGTCCCAAATTGAGGTATCATTGGAGGAGGTTTTGGAACAAATTGATAAACTAAACAGTAATAAGTCTCCAGGACCTGATGGTATTCACCCAAGAGTTCTGAAGGAACTCAAAGGTGAAATTTCAGGACTACTAAATGTAACCTATCATTTAAATCAGCTTCTGTACCAAACGACTGGAGGATGTGACACCAATTTTTAAAAAGAGCTCCAGAGGTGACCCTGGCAACTACAGGTCAGTAAGCCTCATTTCAGTAACGGGCGAATTGGTTGAAACTATCATAAAGAACAAAATGGTCAGACACATAGATGAACATGATTTGTTGGGAAATAGTCAACATGGTTTTTGTAAAGGGAAATCATGTCTCACCAATCTGCGAGAATTCTTTGAGAGGGCCACAGGAGATCCAGTGGACATAGTGTATTTAGATTTTCAGAAAGCCTTTGACAGTGTCCCTCACTAAAGGCTCTTAAGCAAAATAAGCAGTAATGGGATAAGAGGGAAGGTTCTCTCATGGATTGGTACCTGGTTAAAAGATAGGAAACAAAAGGTAGGAATAAATGGTCCGTTCTCAGAATGGAGAGGTGTAAATAGTGGTGTCCCCCAAGGATCTGTACTGTTCCCAGTCCTACAAATTTAACTTATTCATAAATGATCTGGAAAAAGGTATAAACAGTGAGGTGGCAAAATTTGCAGATGATACAAAACTACTCAAGATAGTTAAGTCCCAGGCAGCCTCCGAAGAGCTACAAAAGGATCTCACAAAACTGGGTGACTGGGCAACAAAATGGCAGATGAAATTTAATGTTGATAAATGCAAAGTAATGCACATTGGAAAACATAATCCTAACTATACATATACAATGATGGAGTCTAAATTAGCTGTTACCACTCAAGAAAGAGATCTTGGAATCACTGTGGATAGTTCTCTGAAATCACTCAATGTGCAGCGGCAGTCAATGTGCAGCGGCAGTCAAAAAAACAAACAGAACGTTGGGAATCCTCAAGAAAGGGATAGATAATAAGACAGAAAATATCATATTGCCTCCATCTAATCCATGGTACACCCACACCTTAAATAGTGCATGCAGATGTGGTCGCCCCGTCTCAAAAAAGATATATTGGAATTGGAAAAAGTTCAGAAAAGGGCAACAAAAATTATTAGGGGTATAGAACAGCTTCTGTATGAGGAGAGATTAATAAGACTGGGACTTTTCAGCTTGGAAAAGAGACGACTAAGGGGGAATATGATAGAGGTCTATAAAATCATGAATGGTATATTGAAAGTAAATAAGGAAGTGTTATTTACTCCTTTTCATAATACAAGAACAAGGGGCCACCAAATGAAATTAATAGGTAGCAGGTTTAAAATAAACACAAGAAAGTATTTTTTCACACAACACATTGTCAACCTCTGGAACTCCTTGCCAGAGGGTGTTGTGAAGGCCAATACTATAACGTGGTTCAAAAGGGAGCTAGATAGATTCATGGAAGATAGGTCCATCAATGGCTATTAGCCAGGATGGGCAGGAATGCTGTCCCTAGCCTCTGTTTGCCAGAAGCTGGGATTGGGTGACAGGGCATGGATCACTTGATGATTATCTGTTCTGTTCATTCCCTTTGGGGCACCTGCCATTGGCTACTGTCAGAGGACAGGATACTGGGCTTGATGGACCTTTGGTCTGACCCAGTATGGCCATTCTCATGTTCTTATGTTCAGTATCCTGTCTTCCGACCGTGGCCAATGCCAGGTGCTTCAGAGGGAATGAACAAAACAGGTAACCATCAAGTGATCAATCCCTTGTCGCCCTTTCCCAGCTTCTGGCAAACAGTGGCCAGGGACACCATCCCTGCCCATCAAATCATAGGCCAATCATAGGCTATATACTTACAATGAAAATTCTGAAGGCCAAATGTGATTTGCTTACAAGTTCTGACTGTGTGGGTACAAAGTATGACTGCATTGGTGAGAGCTCAGCCAACAAGTAGAAAAACAGTACAAAAAGCAGAGGCAGCGGAGTCTAATGGATAGAGCACTAGCGCGGGAGCCAGGAGCTCCTGCATTCTAATGCTGACTCTCCCACCTACATGCTAGGTGGCCTTAGGCAAATCATTTAGTTGCTCCGTGTCTCAATTTCCTTATCTGTAAAATGAAACTAATAATTAACTCAGCCTGCCCTTGTAAAGTAATGTTTCTATGCAATTAGCGCTAAATATTACTATTTATAACAGACTTTTTAGGAAATGTCAGCATTGCAAATCCTGGAGTAGGATGGTTAAAGATACATGTCTATGCTGGTATAGATGCAGAACGGTGTCTATGCTGGTATACAAAGAGCACATGCACATTGTGTATGTTTAACCTGATATTTTTTCTCTTGTAGTTTTTTTGCCATTGTGATGCACAAGTTCATGCTGATGATGATTAAAGAGTGTGGAGGTCAAAAGTTATTTCTCACTAGATTTGAAAATGATCGTTTCAAGATCAGCACAGGTCCCTTCTGTTGCTGTTGCCTTTGCCTCCCTCATGTACACATCACTAGGTGAGTTTCACTTTAGAGCTCCCCAGCTAGAGTACTGGTGTCAGAAACCAGCAGCTTAGCAGAGCCATACATATGATACTGGGTCTTCCTGCTTCAGAGAAAATTTGCACCCAGCGCATATTGAATGTGTCACCTCTGTGAATCTCATGCTGTCTATTTTAAGGTGTATTATCATTATGGGGCCACGTCAAAATTTACTCTTTCAGCTTGCACCATGCAGCTATCCTCCACTGTTTTGGGGTAGAAGGGCTTGGAGTTGGGGACCAGACAATTCTTGGTCAACCCAGTGGACATTCAGCCTTTCGGTGAAAGTGGGGCTGTTGCTGGAGTCATGCTGCCAGTGGGCAGAAGGATGGCTATCTTTGTGGGATGCCTCCTACCTCTGTAGACCTATGGTGGGCTCCTTCTCATCAGTACCTAGGGTTGGGAAGCCTTGCCTTCTACCTACTCTTGAGCTCTCTAAGCTTCTTCCAGTACAGAGGATGATGTCTTGACAATTTCAGCCTCCTCTGGCCCCTCCTGCAGGTGTCTCTTGTTTGGCTGAAAAGAGCTTTTTTTTAAAAATAACAAATAAGGATGATACATAAGACAGGCTAGTGCAGATAAGAGCGATAAGGGTCAGGAACAGGGGGAGGGGAGGTACAGTAACAGGTTTCTATCAGCAACAATTGCTCTGTTGTCACACTATTCTCCAAATGCTTGAAAGGGCAAATGCACTAATCGGGTGACCTGTCTCAGCCCATTTCACACTTGTTTGTACCGTTTATAGTTCTGTAATGATTTGCGGGAGTAAAATTACCACTGTAATGATGTAATTATGGCTGTATTAATTGAGCAATTACAATAAATCAAGCTTCATTAATATATCACATTTCACATTAAATGGCAGCTGGCTGGCTGCTGAGCCTTCATTAGGTAGAGTGTCTGAGGGGCCAAGGGCACAACAGTGAAGACCGAAATAACCAGAGAGAGCGAGAGCTGGGAAATAGGTGAGGAATAATAAAGTTGACAAAGAAAAGGGGATCAGGAGCTGGACCTTGCCCAGTGTGCACTTAGATAGTTCAGATAGATCAGCTTTCATGTGCCTGAGTGGCAAGGGTCTTCCCCTTCCCTGCCCCCCACCTTTTCCTTATGGTATTTTTAAACCAGCATTAAAATCTAAAGGATGTTTTTTGGTCTGTGATTATGACTCACTGAAAAGAGGGAAGCTTGCACCATCTGTTCTGCTGGGGCTAGGTAGCGTAGTGATCAAAGGTGGATGATTTCCTCCGACCTAGGAAGAAAAGTGAATGGCTACTGAACAGTGTTCATGGAGGAATACTCCGGAAAATGCTGATCCTCTCTCCTGATCCTGCAAAACCCTTGCTTTCCTGGACTACCACAAAACTGGGGGTTCGCTAATCAGGAAGGGTGGAATCAGGAAGAAGCCACCATATGTGACACGGTTTCTGTAGACAAGGACTAAAGATCTATGGCAGGAATTCTCAAACTGGGGGTTGGGACCCCTCAGAGGGTCGCGAGGTTATTACATGGGGGGGTCATGAGCTGTCAGCCTCCACCCCAAGCCTTGCTTTGCCTCCATCATTTATAATGGGGTTAAATATATTAAAAAGTGTTTTTCATTTATAAGCGGGGTCGCACTCAGAGGCTTGGTTTGTGAAAGGGGTCACCAGTACAAAAGTCTGAGAATCACTGATCTATGGTAACTTGCCATTAAGTTTAATGCTGGTAATGAAGCACCAACTTGCCCACTGTAGCAGAAGGTTGGGACAGTATGGCTGCAGTGGAGGAGCTAAGGGCAAATTTCAGGTGCTAGCTGTTCTGCCATTGGCTCCCCAGTAGACTCTAATACATCACCTTTTGCACAGCTCCATTAGTTACTGAACTGCTGCTGCAGAGCCAGCAATGGAGCAAAAAACATTATTTTGTGCCTGTTCTGCTAAGTTAGTGTCTACATCTTTCAATATGCTGTGAAAAATTAGAGAATTCTAGACCAGTGGCTCTCAAAAATTTTTACTGGTGACCCCTTTCACATAGCAAGCCTCTGAGTGTGACCCTCCTTATACATTAAAAACACTTTGTTGTATATTTAACACCCTAATAAATCCTGGAGGCAAAGCAGGGTTTGGGGTGGAGGTTGACAGCTCGTGACCCCCAGTTTGAGAACCCCTGCTCTAGACAAGCTGTTTAGGTTCTAGAAGATGTTCCTTGCCAGATTTCAGCCATGTACAGTACATATGGAAAATGTGGGGCCTCTACTATTAGACAATATCTAGTGAAGTTGTGTTAAGCTTATTAACAAGGTATTGAGCAGCGGTGGTTTTTTGACTTGCCAGACGAACCCTGTTTCTGCTGAAGTTGGGGACCTTTCAATTTGCTTTCCTTCGACCTGTGCTAATGTTTCTATCAATAGTGCTTTGGACCAATGGAAACTACAGCCTTTCTGATGTAAGTAAATATTCTAATCAGCCATTGCTCACCAAGCTTGTAAACTTTGGCTTGACAATGAGTGTCTAAAAAGCCAGGTTTATGTACTAACCAGCATCATATAAACAGCAGCCCCAATTTATCATCCCACCGCATAGTGTGCTGTCATTTATACTTGTGCAAACTCAGCGTAAAGTAGCATTGTACATTCACCTTCAACGGCTGCTGGTTGTCATGCAACAAAATAACGCTCACAGCCGGTTCCGGTTCAGTTGAAGGAGTGTCCGGCTTTATTCCAAGAGCACAGTACCTAGCAGGTGAGGAGCCAGGGACTGGCATTGAGCAGCCATGGACTGGCAATCACTGAGTTCCTATTCAGCTGGTGTGGACAGCCTCGGGTGGGCAATGACCAATCAGGGGTAAGCTATACTAATTCCATTACAAGGTCTGCACAGGCTATACATGTGAGTTCCTTACGCTAATAATTACATAAGTTGCCAGGCAACAGCGAATGGGCCAAGTGTGTTTAAACAAATGTGTTGCACCAAGAACCAGGACCATTTAGACAGCACCAGCACTGTCACAGAATTTATGTAAAAGGCAGTGTCCGCATTAACCATGCCCCAAACAAGGCGTCTCCAACCTTTTTGTCGTGCGGCCCACTGCTTGAGGTAGACATCATCTCAGAGCTAGGCGAAAAATACAATATCTCTCTTAGAAATGTCTGCAAATTCGAATGAGTTTTCCGTTCCATGGTATTTTGCAATGATCAGATTTTTCATGTTCTCATTTTTCAGTTTTGGAAAAATCCCATCGCGTGGTTTGTCTGACCACTTCAAATTGGCAATAGAAAACCTCCAAGCCCTTCAAATATTCTGACAAATAACCAACAAGTGGCTATTATTTATTTATCTTACACTTAGGGTATGTCTACACAGCCCGCAGCGGCAAGCTTCTGAGCCTGGGGCTTGTGGGGCTTGCACTACCATGCTAAAAAGAGCTGTGTAGACGTTGCAGCTGTGGCTGGAATTCGGGGTCTGCAGCCTAGGGCGAGGGGTGGGCTTCAGAGCCAAGCTCCAGCTGGAGTCACAGCTAAAAAGCACTGTCTACACAGTTATTTTGAGCATGGTAGCACAAGCCCAGGTCTGTGTAGACTTGCTGCTGTGGGCTGCCACTTGCTGTGTAGACGTACCTTTAGCGACCTCAACCAAGATCAGATCCCCAGGTGCTGTACAAACACATAGTGAAAGATGGTCCCTGCCTGGAAGAGTTGGCAATCTAAACAGACAAGGCACACCAGAGGTAGGAAGGAAAACTGTGGCATAGTAAGGGGTAATGACTTGTTCAAGGTCACATAGCATGTCAATGGCAGAACCAGGAATAGAAGCCTGGTTTCCTAGCTCACGCTCCAGCCCTACTTACTAGACAATGCTGCCCCTCAAGGACAATTTTTTCCATTAAACATTTCCATTGGAAAATTTCCAAAAAACCAGAAAATTACAAAAAAGTCTTTGTGAAACATTCTATTTGTGTAAAAAGTTCAAATTTCTAAGAGATTTAGTTTGAAAAATTCCATCCAGCTCCACTTGTGGATTCAAAATCATCATCAGACAACCACCTGCCCTTTAATCCTCCTCTGATTCCATTCACACATCTCTGTGGCACCCATCGTTCAACTCACTCCACATACGCCGCTGCCTGCTTCTCCTTCCCCTAGTGTCTGGTGGCATCCTGGAGAATTACCCAGTCTGTGGTAAGATCCCCTTGGCCTTGAATGAAGGAACTGATTTTCATGTTCTCTGTAAAACACCAAGCCGAGAAGCACGTGAATAAAGGTAAATCTGAACTGCCTGATGTGTTGGCTCCGCCCTATAAACTCAAATGGATTGTTAAAATACGCAAAAAGCGAGACAACTCTGAGGATAATTACACCACTGCTAAAGCCAGTGGACTCAGCATGTTTTCTCCCATTCACAAAAAGCAAAGACTGTTTTCAAGCCAAATTTTTAACTCTTTCCACTGTAGCAAAAATGCAATTATTTGTAGGTGAAAACTCAAGCAAAGGAGTTGCCTGGGCATTTTGCAAACAGGACTGTCCCAAAGTTAAACGGGGTCCCCTGAAAACTTCAAAATAAGAGGCCTCTCAAAAAATGTTAAAAGGTTGGTCACTGTAAGCCGTACTTCACTTGATAGGCTCTCTGGTCACAGGATCAGTAGGTGCTGAGTACTGGCCTGGAATCTAAATGTCTACACACCTACTGAAAAGTTTGGACCTCTTACAAAAAAAAGACATGCTGCGTGAGTCAGAGTAGTAGTAATAATAAAGCCTTTTGTATTATTTTACAGCAATACAAATATAACCTAAAATATCTTTGAGTCTTCTGGGGGAGACAATTTGTCTTTCAGAAGAAGCCTCTGGTGGGTCATTCTGGGCTTGATCCTACAAGATGCTGAGCACCAGCAACTCCCATTGGTGTTGACGGGAGAGGGATGGTGCTCAGGTCCTGGAATAATCTACCTCTTCGTCACCTTCCCAGGTCCTGCCAGTTTTGCAGGCCACTGGCTGATTGGTGATCAAGTACTGCATTCCGTATTATCCCTTCTGTTGGCAGTGTCCCCAGAGCAGTTTCCACTGCAAATCCCAGGAGCCTCTGCTGTTGATTTCAGCTTTCATAAAAATAGAAATAGGTGTTTTATTTTTGCATGTTTTCACAATTGCCAAGTCTTATCCATATGCCTGTTTAATTTGCTTTTTAGTTTACTCCTAATGGAGCTGCAATATGGATTAACTGCTTTGTCGGTGTCCTTACAATGATTGCTCTATGGCCAATTGGAATCATGTTTCAACAAGTTCAAGTTCTTCTTAACCCTAAGAAGATCAGCCCTAAGTTTGCACTTTATCAGGTGAGAATCTTCACATTCCAGTTTAGAATTTGCATTGCTGTTGATATAGAATAACCCAAGTCCTGGGCAGAATTTGGTACAGCGTATTGCTTCTCAGTTCAAAGACTGTAATTTAAAACTTACTGTACAAAGGCACACCCTTTGATTGGTTAAAGATGTGGTTTCTCTTTGAAGTGTTGTTCTTATTCATGCTCAACTTGTATTAACTTGCATCTGGTCTTTGTATAATGCTGGAGAACTGAGAAATATTTATAATCCATTCTTCCTTGGGCTGTGGGAAAAAAATAGCACAGAGCTGAGCTCTCTTTTCTCAGCATAAAGGAAGCCTCATGGTGTATCCTGTAATACAATGTTAAAATTCTAGTGTGTACTTTAAAAGATGGGAAGGGTTCTGGAACTGGGGGGCGTGGGGGTGGTTCTTCTTGTTTCAATTGTTGCACCATGCTGCTGTTTCTGTGATGTTAGTTATTTTTCTTGGCCAGTCTACAAATGAGAATAAGACAATAATAAAAACATTGGCAGGAAACCACTGAATAATAGATATGGGCCAGATTTAGTTCTATCCATTTTCCATATTAAAGAAACCCATGAAAGATACCTCCATCCTCAAGAAAGGATTGAGTCAGGATCCTCTTATTGCGGCGCTGCCATCTGTGGGCATCCCTAGGAGGTGGTACTGTAAGGCCTTGTCTATGTCGATGAAAAACCTTAGTGTAAATGCCATGACTCACACCGGGGCAGTTTACCTCACTAAGTTGACCTAGTGCAAGTCACACTAAGTTGTAACTTTAGCATCCTCATGGCCAAGACGGAATCTGCTCTGCAGGCAGCTCTGGCCAGGAAAAGGGGCACGCAGGAACACAGCAGGGAAAGTCCCTTCTGCCCCAGGGACACGTTGTTCCATACCCCCCGATGTGAACACACGCACACACCAGAACAGTACAATGAATACAGGAGAGGGAAATATTTATTTACAGGGGGATGAATGGAGAAGAACAACAAGAGGGAAGATAGGGGGAGCGGTAAAACAGGATTACACCTACCACGAGGCCCCACAGGCCCAGCGGTACCACAGTCTGAAAGGGCAGACACCGAGCACTGTGTCTGCTCTCAGAGTTCAGGAGTCCCGGGCAGAGTGGCAGAGTTCCAGTCTGGCAGCGAGTCTTGGGTGCTCCTGGTCATCTTGGGCACCAGTGAACTTTCCCACAAACCGCTCCAGTGCCCTCTTCTGCCACTCTGCAATCCCACACAGAGCGGCAACCTCCCCACTTAGCTAGCTACAGCTTCCCTCCTTATTCCAAGTGCAAGGTCACAATCCCCAGTACTCTTGGCACCATACAGCTCTGGCCAACAGTGATCCTGAATCCAGCTCCTGTTTCTCGGGTGATTCCACTCTGGCATGGTGCTCCTCCTGGCTCCTGTCCTGGGGTGTCCCCAATCGGCCGCTCTGTCCCTCCCAGGTTTCAGGCAGGTTCTTGGCTGCTTCACTCTGTGAGGGCCCCCTCGCTGCAGTCTGGAGCTACAGACACCCCCATCCCCCTGTCGTTTCCCTTCTCTCCATGCCCACCGCTCCCAAAACGGAACTTCCTCTTCCTGGAACAATCAGCCCTTCCTCCCCTCAGGGCAAAGATTTAAAAGGGCCATTCTCTCTAAACCCCAAACGGGTTACACACTGGTACAGTGTGTCTACACTAGGGCTGTACACTCAGTGTAGAGAAGGCTTAGGCCAGTGTACAGCAGGCTGCGTAGTCTCTGGCCATATTCTGTCAATGAGGAGGTGCAGCCTGTGTCCATGAGACACTCACAAGTAGTCAGTACATGTCAGTACAACCTGAAGGAACGGGTAGGAGGCAGGCAGCAGCTGGATGCCATCCAGCAACGCACATCTGATATTGCCGTTTGTCTGGCAGGATGGAGATGGCAAAGTTTTTTTGGATCTGAGACCAGTATAGTTTTAAATTCACTCTGGTATTTAGGATTTTCACCATCTAACACAGTACAAAAGCTGCGTGTAGTTTTTACTGGATTCTGCTCTCAGGTATAGATCTATGTATGATAGTTTTCAGGCTAGTTCCCCCAACCCTATTTAATTGAAGTCAGCCTGTACATTAACTTCAACATGGAATTAAACACGATTTCAAGCTAGTGAGTCACTGATACTCCATATGTGCCCCCTAAATATTTTGGATGTCCACCAAGATATATGGCGAAGGCCAGCACAGACTAAGAGGTGTCACACTCTAGAGCACTCTCTCTATTCTGAGATCACATGCATTTGTTTGTTTTTAAAAATTACTTCATTGGGTGATTCATCCTGATGACGTGGCCCTGAAATCTGTTTTGCATGATCACAGCTGGCCTTCGCATCTGCTCCTACAGCACTTACTTTCAGTAGTCAGACTTACTACCACAAGCAGTCCCATTAAACTCAAGGCACTACTCACAGAAGGGAATATTACACCTCGTATGAAGTGCTTCAGGCCATTAGATTATAAAATCCTTAGGACAGGAACAGTCTTTCTCTGTGTCCCGGACACTGACAGCACTAAACTAGTAAACACAATAATACTGGAGGTGAATGAAAACATTTTTGTGTTTGTATTTTTATGGGAAATGTATTCATGGGGGAGTTCTGATCATTTTAACCTATGCAATGGATTTTATAATCTTACACTGAACCACAGATTTTCTTTCCCTCCTCCACACTTATCAGTTCCCAAGAAAGCAGTTGAATGTTATTCTGTTCTCACTGGCCTTAAGGAATTTCTTGATTTTTACATCTGTTTATGGATGGACTACTTTATGGGCAGGGCAGGGAACATGCTGAGACAGCGAACGCTCTGCAGTAAATGTAAGCAAAGCTCAGTTTTCCTGACCAATTTCAAAAATGCTCTGGTCACACGCCAACTAGAGACATGGGTTCAGAAAGAACTTCTTAGTGAGACACTGACTAGCTCAGGGGGAAAATTCTCAGGTCAGGAACAGAGCAAGAAAAGTTTGAGGGAGCAGGCCATGTTTCTAGCCTGCTCTAAGAAGAATTTATACACAAAAGGCCAGATTTACAAGGGTATTTAGGTGCATAAAGATGCAGATCGGGACCTAATGGGATTTTCAAAAGCACCTAAGCAGGCCAGGTGCCTACAATGGCTTCAGTGAGAGTTAGGCACCTAGGCCCAGATTCTAAACGTGTTGCCCATTGACTGTCAATGGGATTTAGTTTTGTGTGTGTCTAAATCCCTTTTGAAAATGAGAGCTAGGCTCCTAAATCAATTAGATTTTGCAACATTGAGCACAGCAGTGCCTAAATACCTTTAAAAATCTGGGCCCTAATCTGTTTAAGCATGTCTGTGAATCCCACTAGGTTCCTATCTGCATCTTAATGCACGTATACACCTTTGTAAAGCTGGTCCACAGAATTTAGTCCAAACTTACTCCCTTCCTGACATTTGGCTTTATTGGTTACTCAAACAACAACAATGCACACACATCACCCTGCCCTTTCTTCCCCCAGCTTGGCTTTCCCCAGCTTGGGTTCCACTGCAAAGACCTCTCTGTCCTAGAATCTAGTTTCTTCTGCACCAAAAGTCACTTCCTTTCTAACTAGGGGACAGTTTAAGAGTCACCCCTGCCACAGTGAGTTAGCAGGAATCGGTCATCATCTCCCTGCTGTGTGTGTGCACGTGTGTGTGTTCCAACACCTCATACCAGAGTAGGGCAACAGAAGAATCTTGTCCCCTAGGTACAGGTGGGTACAAATTAATAATTACAGTGCTGGTAAGACTCCATTTTTCTTATGTTTGCTTCTGATATGAAGCAGTAAATATTGATCGATACCCCAAATGGCAGCCTCACAGCCATTGCACCTTTAGACCGAAGAGCTGAGGTCAAGCCTTTTTTACAGCTAGGAAGTTTGATTTAATTTTCAAGCTGTGAGCTATATTGCTTTCACCAAAAGATTTATTCTGCAGGGGAGGCAGGCTTAGGGTAGGAGATGAGGAGAGGGGAGAAAGAAGGTGGAAGAGGAGTTTATATTCTTCATGAAAGCAAGATCACTGTGCTGAACTACAGCCCTTCTGTGGTACTGATGCATCAATCTTCTTTTCTTTGTTTCTTTTCATAGTTTGTCCTCATTCTGAGCCAACTCCAGGCAGCCATCATCAACATCCTGGCTCTACAAGGAATTATTCCCTGTGCACCACCTCTGGCTTCTTCAGCCAGAGGAGCATGTAGGTTCTTTTGGAGGGCTGTAGAGTGGGGAAGGGTTGTTTTTTAAATGTATAAAGGCCTGGAAATCAGTGTTGCCAACGCTCTCGATTTTAATGTGTGTCTTGTGACATTTTGGCATTTCCCTTAAATATCTGTTTCCTGGCATCTTGCAGTTACATGAGCATTTCAGCTTTCCCAGAAAAACCTTTCTCTCTCTCCTGGTTGCAGAGATAAGTGATAATGACTCAGAAACCAGATGTCAAAGACAAAAAATCCAACACATATTAGGATTAAAAATCATGAGATTGTAAAAACAACTATCTCATGTTTTTTTGGGGGCCCATCTTATGATTTTTGAATGCTTGAGGTTGGCAGTACTGTACATTTTGAAAAATGACTGGTGATTCTGAGTGTCTAACCTGAGATGTGGTAAAGGGTCTGATCTCATAAAGTACTGACCATCGAGCCTTTGAAAATTAGGCCCCTTCAAAGGTTTCTGAAGTTGGACAGCCACAAATCTACTGGGAGATAAAGTATGTATTTACTAAAGTGCTTTCATGAGCAACAGAGCACTTTACAGAGATCTGAACTCCAAAACAGTGAGAATTAAGGAGCTGATCCTACAAGGTATTGTGTGTGCCCAGACCCCCAGTCTGGTCTTCCCTCCCTCCCCCCATTTCTCATTTCTTTTCTTTCTGTTGGGAGATAAATCGTTCAGGCTGTTGGCATGTTAAACTCGGTCGGGAGGCTGGAAAGAGATGAGATGAGATGAGATGGGCATCGTTAGGCTGGAAAGTGTTAATGGCTACCATCCATAGAAAATTATGGAGGCGCTTGAAGCTGTGACTCTGCTAACCAGATGCCAGGGGCGTGGTGTGTCCCCCGTTTTTCCCCTTTTGTTTTTTTACCATTTTCTGCTCTTTGACGCCTAGAATATTCCCTGAAATTTTGGAATTGATCAGATGTGGTATTCAAAAGTTACCGTAGAACAGACAAATACCACTCAGCTGAGGGTTAGGCCATGTCTACACTCTGGGCGCTAGAGCAGCACAGTTATGGTACTGCAGCCCCATAGTATAGACCAGTGGTGCCCAACCTTTCCCTGTCATGCCTCTCCCATCCCGTAATGGAATCTGTCTGTGCCCCACTCTACTCCATTACTCGCAATTGGTTCAGCAAAGGAGCTGGGGCTGAAGGTGGAGCTGAGGGCAGAACTAGGGATGGGGGGAGGAGCTGGGGCTAGAGGTGGAGCTGGCCTCAGGGCAGAGAGCGAATGATGGCAGAGCTGGGCTGGGGGCAGAGCAGGAGGTGGAGTGGAGCTGTGGCTGGGGGTGGAGCAGGGCTGGGTGGCTCTCCTTCCCCACCCTCCCATGGGGGCTGGCCCGGGCCTGCTACATGCCTCTCTAAAGTTTCTCTGTGCCCCCCTAGGGGGGCAGGTGTGATGGACTTCCCCAGGGTGCAACCTGAAACTGGGGTATCACTGAGCCTTCTGTCTCACCAGCCTAGGCTCCCTCACTCACTGTGATGCTGGGACAAGCTGCAGCTCCCTCCAGATCCTGCACTTACACAGACATTCACAGACAGAGACACCCACTGCTGCAGTTACATGAATGCTTTTCCTATCCACTCATGGACTAACAATAGAGTGGCTCCAGCCAGTCCCCCGACTAGCTCTCCAGCCTAGGACCCCTTACCATCTTGCTCTGGTCAAAAGCCTGACCAGTGTAAGTTTATATCCCAGTCCAGCCTTCAGTGTGGAGAGGCCAATGCACCAACCCTGAGTGGATTTCCTGAGCGGATTTCCCTTTTGCTCTTCAAGCAACACACTGTTTTAGGTAAAAAATATAAAACAGATTTATTAACTATAGAAAGATAGATTTTAAGTGATTGTAAGTGATAACGTACAAATCAAAGTTGGTTACCTAAGAAAAAACAAAACAAAATTGCAATCTAAGTTCAATACACTAGACAGGATTTGCAAAAAGAAAAGGAGTACTTGTGGCACCTTAGAGACTAACCAATTTATTTGAGCATGAGCTTTCGTGAGCCACAGCTCACTTCATCAGATGTGTACTGTGGAAACTGCAGCAGACTTTATATACACACAGAGAATATGAAACAATACCTCCTCCCACCCCACTGTCCTGCTGGTAATAGCTTATCTAAAGTGATCAACAGGTGGGCCATTTCCAGCACAAATCCAGGTTTTCTCACCCTCCACCCCCCCACACAAATTCACTCTCCTGCTGGTGCTAGCCCATCCAAAGTGACAACTCTTTACATAATCAAGTCGGGCTATTTCCTGCATAGATCCAGGTTTTCTCACTTCCTCCCCACCCCCATACACACACAAACTCACTCTCCTGCTGGTAATAGCTCATCTAAACTGACCACTCTCCAAGTTTAAATCCAAGTTAAACCAGAATATCTGGGGGGGGGGGGGGGGGGTAGGGAAAAAACAAGAGGAAACAGGCTACCTTGCATAATGACTTAGCCACTCCCAGTCTCTATTTAAGCCTAAATTAATAGTATCCAATTTGCAAATGAATTCCAATTCAGCAGTTTCTCGCTGGAGTCTGGATTTGAAGTTTTTTTGTTTTAAGATAGCGACCTTCATGTCTGTGATTGCGTGACCAGAGAGATTGAAGTGTTCTCCGACTGGTTTATGAATGTTATAATTCTTGACATCTGATTTGTGTCCATTTATTCTTTTACGTAGAGACTGTCCAGTTTGACCAATGTGCATGGCAGAGGGGCATTGCAGGCACATGATGGCATATATCACATTGGTGGATGTGCAGGTGAACGAGCCTCTGATAGTGTGGCTGATGTTATTAGGCCCTGTGATGGTGTCCCCTGAATAGATATGTGGGCACAATTGGCAACGGGCTTTGTTGCAAGGATAAGTTCCTGGGTTAGTGGTTCTGTTGTGTGGTATGTGGTTGTTGGTGAGTATTTGCTTCAGGTTGCGGGGCTGTCTGTAGGCAAGGACTGGCCTGTCTCCCAAGACTTGTGAGAGTGTTGGGTCATCCTTTAGGATAGGTTGTAGATCCTTAATAATGCGTTGGAGGGGTTTTAGTTGGGGGCTGAAGGTGACCACTAGTGGCGTTCTGTTATTTTCTTTGTTAGGCCTGTCCTGTAGTAGGTAACTTCTGGGAACTCTTCTGGCTCTATCAATCTGTTTCTTTACTTCTGCACGTGGGTATTGTAGTTGTAAGAAAGCTTGACAGAGATCTTGTAGGTGTTTGTCTCTGTCTGAGGGGTTGGAGCAAATGCGGTTGTATCGCAGAGCTTGGCTGTAGACGATGGATCGTGTGGTGTGGTCAGGGTGAAAGCTGGAGGCATGCAGGTAGGAATAGCGGTCAGTAGGTTTCCGGTATAGGGTGGTGTTTATGTGGCCATTGTTTATTAGCACTGTAGTGTCCAGGAAGTGGATCTCTTGTGTGGACTGGACCAGGCTGAGGTTGGTGGTGGGATGGAAATTGTTGAAATCATGGTGGAATTCCTCAAGGGCTTCTTTTCCATGGGTCCAGATGATGAAGATGTCATCAATATAGCGCAAGTAGAGTAGGGGCTTTAGGGGACGAGAGCTGAGGAAGCGTTGTTCTAAATCAGACAGGATTTGAATCAAGCAGTGTCTCACCCTGATGCTACAAACAGTCCAACAATCTTCCTTACACAGGCTATAAATCCCTTCAGACTGGGACTACATCCCCAAGTCAGTCTTTGTTCCTAAGGTGCTTTGTTGTAGGAGGAGTGAGGCCCAGTGATGATGTCACTTCCCCCTTGTATAGCTTCTTCAATGTGGAGGGAACTTCTTTGTTCGAAGCAAAGTCCCCAGCACAGTTTGTACAGTAAAGTACAGGCACAAGATGGAGTCCAGTGTCACATGATCAAGCCACATGCCCTTGCATGCTTGGATGAGTCCTAGTAGGGGCCATTACCCATATTCTGGCTAGAACGTTCACAGGAAAGTCCATTGGGTGGGGAAAAGCTTTTCCCATGGCCCATTGTGTTTATTGATGGTCCTTGATTAGTCCATTCACAATGTGTTGGCTAGACTGGATGTAAACTACTTTATGGGTGTTACCCAGGAGTAAACACATTTGAAATACTGGCCCATAGTCAATATTCATAACTTCAGATAGAAAAATGATACCTGCATACAAATAGGATAATCATAATCAGCAAACCATACCTTTTCCATTGACACCTTACATGACATATTTTGTACAAGATTTGTTGCAATTCTATAACACTGGTGACTATGGGGGCACCAAGGTGTTACTTTGGGGTACAGAATGTCACAGCGTGCCCCACAGATTGGGGACCACTGGTGTAGATGCATCCTACAGTGATGAAAAAGGTTTTTCTATTGAAGTCGGTAATCTACCTGCCTCAGTGGTGATAGCTAGGTCAGTGGAAAAATTGTTCCATCAGCAAGGCCGCATCTACATCAGGAGTTAAGTTGGCATAGCTAGGGCGCCCAGGGCTGTGAATTTTTCACATCCCTGAGCTCCATAGCTATGTTGACCTAACTTTTAAGTGTAAACCAGGCTTTAGACCTTATTCACTCCCATCTCCCAGCAGTGTAACCCTGAAGCAAGGCTCCCAGCAGCAACTCCACCCAGAAATGGGAGGCAGTAGCACCAGTCTCATCCTTGGAAGGAGCCAGGAGCAAGGAACCTTCCCCCCACCCTCCCCAAGCCAACTCTTGCTAGGGAGGGGGGAGGCCTGGGCATCTAGGAGATGTGCTGATTCAACCCATCCCAAGGCAACTTTTGCCTAGAGCTTCTGTGGCTCTTTGGCAGCTTAGCCTGAAAATCCTGGCTACCCTCTGCAGGGGTGAATCCCACCTGGGCTACAACAGCCACTTGCTGGCTTAGGAGGAAGCTGCTTCCCTTGGCATAGGTGCTGACTCTGTGGGTGCTCCAGGGCTAAAGCATCCATGGAAAAAAATAGTGGGTGCTCAGCACCCACCAGCCACAGCTGTTCGGTGGCACCCCAATCAGCTGTTTGGCGGCTGGGGGGAGCTCTCAGCGGAGAGCAGCGAGCGGCGGGTGGGTGGGGGCCCCCAGGAGCGGTTGAAGTGGGGGCGGAAGAGGCAAAGCGAGGGCAGAGCTTCAGGGAGAGGGTGAAGCGGGGGTGGGAAGAGGTGGAGCGAGGGTGGGGCCTCAGGGGAAGCGGTGGAGTCGGGGCAGGGCCTTGGGGCAGAGCAGGGGTGGAGCACCCCCAGGGAAAAATAAAAGTCAGTGCCTGTGCCCTTTGGGCAAATGGGGATGAGTTAAACCTACTGTTCTCTTCTTCCCCAATTCTGACGTGATTTCTTTTCTTTTTTTTTTTTTGCCAGATATGAATCAACAGCTCCTCATAATGGAAATGTTTCTGATAACACTGATCTCAAGGGTGGTGTATAGGAAAAGATATGATGATCTGGAACTTCCAGAGTGCACTGACCAGGAAACTAGCGACAACAAACAGAACACCAAGATCAACCTAAATGGCAAATTTATTGAAGATGGAACCCAAAATGTATAGAAGGTGGACAGATGTGCTGTCTTGTGAAAGCTGGGACAATACTTGTAGCCCAACTCAGCTTGCCCATGGCAAGATCCTGACTAATGTATATGCTTTACTTAAATCATAGAATCATAGAATCATAGAATATCAGGGTTGGAAGGGACCCCAGAAGGTCATCTAGTCCAACCCCCTGCTCAAAGCAGGACCAATTCCCAGTTAAATCATCCCAGCCAGGGCTTTGTCAAGCCTGACCTTAAAAACCTCTAAGGAAGGAGATTCTACCACCTCCCTAGGTAACGCATTCCAGTGTTTCACCACCCTCTTAGTGAAAAAGTTTTTCCTAATATCCAATCTAAACCTCCCCCACTGCAACTTGAGACCATTACTCCTCCTTCTGTCATCTGCTACCATTGAGAACAGTCTAGAGCCATCCTCTTTGGAACCCCCTTTCAGGTAGTTGAAAGCAGCTATCAAATCCCCCCTCATTCTTCTCTTCTGCAGGCTAAACAATCCCAGCTCCCTCAGCCTCTCCTCATAACTCATGTGTTCCAGTCCCCTAATCATTTTTGTTGCCCTTCGCTGGACTCTCTCCAATTTATCCACATCCTTCTTGAAGTGTGGGGCCCGAAACTGGACACAGTACTCCAGATGAGGCCTCACCAATGTCGAATAGAGGGGAACGATCACGTCCCTCGATCTGCTCGCTATGCCCCTACTTATACATCCCAAAATGCCATTGGCCTTCTTGGCAACAAGGGCACACTGCTGACTCATATCCAGCTTCTCGTCCACTGTCACCCCTAGGTCCTTTTCCGCAGAACTGCTGCCTAGCCATTCGGTCCCTAGTCTGTAGCTGTGCATTGGGTTCTTCCGTCCTAAGTGCAGGACCCTGCACTTATCCTTATTGAACCTCATCAGATTTCTTTTGGCCCAATCCTCCAATTTGTCCAGGTCTTTCTGTATCCTATCCCTCCCCTCCAGCGTATCTACCACTCCTCCCAGTTTAGTATCATCCGCAAATTTGCTGAGAGTGCAATCCACACCATCCTCCAGATCATTTATGAAGATATTGAACAAAACCGGCCCCAGGACCGACCCTTGGGGCACTCCACTTGATACCGGCTGCCAACTAGATATGGAGCCATTGATCACTACCCGTTGAGCCCGACAATCTAGCCAGCTTTCTACCCACCTTGTAGTGCATTCATCCAGCCCATACTTCCTTAACTTGCTGACAAGAATACTGTGGGAGACCGTGTCAAAAGCTTTGCTAAAGTCAAGAAACAATACATCCACTGCTTTCCCTTCATCCACAGAACCAGTAATCTCATCATAGAAGGCGATTAGATTAGTCAGGCATGACCTTCCCTTGGTGAATCCATGCTGGGACCTTGAGGGGATGTCCATTGCAACTTTTATATCCTTATACTGCAAATAGCAGATTTCCAAGCTGGAACAGCTTCTGGTATAAATTCCTGTGACCTGGACAGAAAGGACCGAAAAGTGGGAGGATAAACCTCCTTATTTTCCAGAGATACATACACAGAGTGAGAGATTTCTGTCTCCATATAATTTCATGCAGTTGTCAGACAGTTTGGGTCCCATCAGCTTGTTTGAACCCTGCAGTATAAATGTGAATTGATAAAATACAGGTTTGCACACATTATGGTCTTTATATAATGCGGCAACACTGGAGACTCACTCTTTTTGGTTTTTTCCTCATTTCGTGTAGCCACCTCTGTGTTTGGAGCTCTCTCCCTGTTCCAACACTTCAGGTGCCCACCCTCTCTTTGTTCAAATCCCTCCTCAACTCTCACTCTTCTCACCAAACCCACAACAGCTAACATACCTCAGTAAATATATCCTCTCAGACCCCAACACATCCTGCATGCGATATCCAACTCAGTAATGATAAGCTCTTTGGGTGAGGGCTGTCACTTTTTCCTGTCTTTTTTATACCAGTGATTCTGAATCTTTCCAGACTATTGTAACCCTTTCAGGAGTCTGATTTGTCTTGCATACCCCAAGTTTCACCTCACTTAAAATTACTTGCTTACAATATTGACATAAAAATACAGAAGTGTCACAGCACACTATTACTGAAAAATTGGTTACTTTCTCATTTGTCTGTATGAAATTTAAATTGGGACTGACCTCGCTTGTGCTTTTTATGTAGCCAGTTGTAAAACTAGGCAAATACCTTGGATGATTTGATGTACCCCCTGCAAGACCTCTGCGTACCCTCAGGGTTATGCATGTCCCAGGTTGAGAACCACTGTTTTATACCAGTAAGCACACAGTAACCATTCATGACTATTTAATAATAGCTATCAATAGTCCTCCCCATGGGAGGCAGTGTGATCCAATGGATCGGGTATGGGACTAGGAGATAGGAGAGGTGGGTTATGTTCTGTGCTCTGCCACTGACCTGCTGTGCCTTAGTGTCCCCATCTGTAAAATGGGGATAATGATACTTAACTATCTTTGTGAAGCGCTTTGAGATAATGTATACACATTTTTCTATAAAGCTAAGTATTTTTATTAACAGGAATCATTTTCAAATTATTGCTCCCCCCTCACCCCCAATCCTGAGCCATCCTGAAGCCCACTAGGGACAGGGGTTCTCAAACTTTTTTTGCTGGGCTGCCATTTGAAAGCTCTGATGTCCCTCCTCCCATACCATGCCACCCTTATTTCTGCTCTGCTGCTTACTTCAGAGCTGGGCACCTTGCCAGCAGATGCCGCTCTCATGACCCCCCCACAATAGCCTTGTGACCCCCCTTTTGGGTCAGGACCCCCAGTTTAAGAAACACTGCACTAAGACTTAGACTGTTTTTAGACTTGTTGGTCCAAATACTGCCATCACTGACACCCATTGGTTAGTCTCATTTCAATGAATTTCCATCTATCATAAGGGGTCCCTGGAAATCCAGTGTTCTTTGAGGAGGCTAATTGCTCCATTTTGGTTTGATATAACTTCTGACACCATGTAATGTTTAGAAAGCTGTCAGGAGTTGTGTGTGTCATGAGAGACCAGCATTCAGCTCCTTCTCAGTCTCTTCTGGCTTCTCTAGTTCACATTGGGCATGGATGCTTTGACCATATATACACTAGGAAAATGTATCTGTTTTAAATACATGATATCAGATATGACTTAGCTTCTAGATTCTCCCACTAAGGTTAATCATGACCAGCTTACACTTTTTAAACACGATTGTACTTGTCCATGCTATATGCCAAAGCATGTTTAACATCTTGTTATTTAGCACGTTTTCTAACATGATATATTTTCTAAGTGTAGACAAGGCCATAGATACTTAACCACAGCAGTTAGCATAGTTACTCCCATAGTTGTAATCTAATACCTATCCACATAAGATGGCATTTGCTAGTGTTTTATTGTGGCTGGCTGTGACTTCCTGGGACCCCAAATGGGGAAAATAGACTATTTAGAGCCAACAAGTCTTCTCATGAATTGGGATTGGAAACAATTTAATTGCTCGTGCAAATGGGACAAAATCGTTTTCAAAAGTCATGCTTTTTCTCTAATGATGTTGAAAATTGTTTTGTTCCATACATTAAATTCAATGGCTTTCAGCATTGCTTCACTGGGACCTGTTGCTACTAACTGATCAATTTCCTAGTATACATGGGGATTTAGAACTCAAATCAAGTGTTTGGAACAGGCATGGAGACTGAATGACTTGGATCTTCCCACACACAGTTAAAGGTGTGTTATCTGGGCAAAACAAGAAGCCTATATTGATACTGCCTCTGATTAACCTATTCTGTGGAGAGAAGGCTTCATTTTCCATCACTGTCAACCAAGCATTTGTCACAATCACATATCTGAAATGCTCATTAAAATAGATTTATATTTTAAAATCAATGTGAGCTTAGTTTAACCATGAGAGTCTCTTTAGCTATTATGCTTTTAGAGTAGATTTTTAATACTTCTACTATTATTCATGTGTCATATTTGAGCAATAGAAAGATGAGGTGGGTGAGCTAATATCTTTTATTGGACCAACTTCCGTTGGTGAGAGAGACAAGCTTTCGATCCACACAGAGCTCTTCTCTAGGTCTGGGAAAGGTACTCCAGCATCACAGCTAAATGCAAGGTGGAACAGACTCCTGAGCATAAGTAGTTAGCATATACTCTAAGCGACCATTCAAGGTAAGACTGACACAACTACAGCTACACTGCATATTTGAGCAATGAAATTTACAGCGTAGGCAGTGATTAGCAAGTGGATTAAGTGGACTTTTGCGCTGGCAGCTAAGAAGACAGATTTCCACTGAAATCAGTTGAAGTTAGGAACCTAAATACCGTTGAGGATCTGGGCCCAAGGCCCCAATTCTGAAAAGCATTTATGCACATGCTTATGTATAACCCTAATTAGGTCAGAACAGGTCTTGCGTAATTTTAAGCATGTGTTTAAGTGTTTTCCTGAATAGGAATGCTTTCCTGAATAGAGCCAAAATGATCATGAAAGTGGCAGAATGTATCATTTTTGTTGTTGTTAATGTTTTATTTTAATTATCCAAAAATAAAACAGGACCATTTGTTCTACTTTATATTTGTAATGTGTCTTTCCTCCTAGCTCGACCTCCAGCATTCTGAGGTGCTTTCTCCTCACTCTGGTAACAATCACGTCTCAATGAGTAAGAACATTTTGCTTCCAATGGTGTGTATTTGTGATGTTAAAGGTTTACAAATACTATAATGTCAAGGCTCTCTCGGACGGAGAGTAACTGATCTTCAAGTTCCATGAGTCAAATTTCAAACAGCTGCCATAAAATGAGATATCTCGGGGTGAACATCTCATATCTTTGATGCCAAGCCTGCTTCAGATTGTCATATAAGAAAGGAGAGATATTTTTATCATGCCTTTTGTGATGATAAAAAGCACCATCCATATTAAACAAAGAACTGGAGCGAGAAGTGCAGGGGACATGCAATCAAAGGTTAAAATGTTGTAAGCATTTGGAAAACTAGTGAGACTGAGGAGAATAATAAACAGAAAAGGACAAGAGTGACAGTACAGTTCTTGTGTGGTTGTATAGCAAGGTGTGGCCATGCGTGGACAATTTGGGCTTTTTATTGTTATTTTTCTTCCCCCTCACTGCTAATAGGTGAGATGGCAGAAGTGCCTTTTTAGAATGGTTTGGATGTGGTGAGGGAGGGGCAGCTCAGGCGCTGACCCTGCAATTGCACCTTCACAGATGCTGCAGCAAGATCAAGGCGGTTGGGCCCAGCAGCATTGCCATCCCCATATTTTCAAAAAACCACAAGTCGGGCCCCCAAAATCAGGAACTTGGCTTTAAAATCATGAGATTTTTGAAAAATAATTTACTTGCCTTCTGCTTTCTGAGCCTTTAGGGTTCATGCTTTCAGGCTTTTCTCCACAGTTATAAGGAGTGGAAACTTACTTTTTAAAAAATGAAATCTGAGGTTCCCTGGTAATCCCATGAATCCAGGGGCTCGGCCTTTAGGAAAACCACCAAATATTGCAATAAACCCACAAGCATTGGCAATGCTGGAACAGGGGAGGGAAGAGCATGCTAAGCTTAAGGGTAGCATGGAAGAGGCCTCAGAGATGCGGCCATCTGTGAGAGAAGGACATAACAGGAGTACTGAGGCTGGTGTCATTGGTAGAGTGGAGAGGGCAGGTGGGGTGATGTATAGGGAGACTAAGTCAAATAATATAATTTGCAAATATCATTACTGTCATGTTTATCCTCTTCAGCAGATCATGACTGGTAAATAAAGACCACAGATCCCTATGCTCTCTTTCCCCCAAACTGATACATTGCCATTTATCATCTTTACTCTTTTTGTACAGTCTCTTAACTATTTTGGACCCTGATTCTCTTCCTGACCCTACCACTGGTTTGCCTTCTGGCCCCAGGCAAATTATTTAATCTGCTTGTGTCTCTGCATCGCCAATGTAAAATAGACAAAGCAAATTTATAAATAATAATTTATAATTTTAAAATTATAAAGCAATTTAAGAGTGATGTGTGAAAAGCAGAATATATGCACCATTTTGTTGCATATTTTGAAAGTCCTTTAAAACTGTGTACCAACTAGCTAATCCGACCATTATTGTACAGAGGGGGAACCAGCACCTCCACAGCACCTCCACAAAGTGGGTAGTTTTCTTTTTCATTCCACCTCGAGGAGAAGATAACTTACTAGGCAGAACAATACAATGATTTGCTGTTTGCTGTGTTCAGGTCTCCAGCCTGCATAATCTTTGGGTGAGAGGTCATCTAGATCAATTTTTCCAGCCTGTGGAATTGGTGTGAGAAGTGGACCTTTATACAGTTGATTCATAAGAGAAAATATACAGAATACTCCTGTGCTCTTTTCTCTTTAAGGCACACCCTAATGTAGTTTCTGAGAGGTCAAAGTGCAACCTCAGAGGCAGACAAGCTCTACAGTCTCCTTGCATAAATATGGCATTCTTCACGCCTCAGAATCTCAGTTTCTATTAAAATACCTACTGCTTCAGCACAAAGGCAGTCAAAGAGGCAGCACGTACAGGTGTATCTCTCAAGTGTCCTTTGTTTTTTTGCAAAAGATTCTCTTTACCCTTTCTCCGCTGCATGTTGTCCTTTTTTTGACTTGCTGACGTGTTCTCTGGGCATATACTGATGCCAGTTACAGTGACAAATGATAAAGCTCTTGGTATGCCAGGGCTGCACCACTGTAGGACAGGGATTGAAAACTTGCGAATCTAATTGAAAACTTTTCCATCAGAGTTCCCAATTGCTGTAAAATGTTAACCGCTGTAAAACGCTTGTTTGAAAACAGCAAATGCTTTCCCCAAATGTTAACAAATTAAAAAAAAAACCCAAAAACAAAAAACAAAACTGGTGAAATTTCAAAGGTTTTCAACCAATTCTAGTGTAGATCACAATTTAACAGTGAGATTATCTTGTGGACATTTCCCCTTGCATTGACTGTTGTATTCTGCCATTCACAACTGTATATGGACCGCCTCTTCTCTGATACCTAATTGCACAGCACCCATCTGGCAACTACTGCAGCTGCTCATGTGGAAAAGTAACATTAGGGAAGTAATATGGGGTTTTTTTAGCATCTTTTAATGCAGTTTAGCAACTGGAAACAAGGAGGCGAGCCAGGATCATGTGATCAGCCAGCTCTTCAAGGACCATAATCCTTGAACTATCAGTCTAAAGGCTACGTAGAGAAGTAGGATAATATTTCTGGGTTTTCACTGAAAATCTTTGAATAGGTGAGTTTCTGAGCCTTTCTGTAGCCCTGTCACACACAGCCAGGAAAGGGTATGAGCTAATTGTTAAATTCAGTTCAACAAGTTCCTCATTAGGGGCAAATTACCTGAGTTTGAAATCTGCTAATTTTCCAATCAGGGTGAGTGTTTGCACTTGTGATTCGGAAATAATTACCACATGGTATAACATCTAAACCTATGTGAAGGCTAATGGGTAAAGGATTAGTTTCCTTGGAATGAGAGAGGGTGTGATCTATGTTCCCCAAGAGCTTTGTTTGTTGCCATACTTTCAGGAGGTCTCGAATGCATAATGTCTGATGTTTTTTATGTAGTAAACTTGATTTTATATTTACTTGTCTCTCTTAGCGTTAGTGTGGATAAGCAACATGGGCCTCAGACTTGGACTTCATTTGCTACAGGCCACTAATTTTGAATGAAGATTTCTCTATTTCCCCACTCTCACTTGTTAATCTGTTTTCTCCACCAACCTCCCCGAATTACTGGCCCAATCCTGTAATGAGATCTGTTTAGGTGAACCTTGTTGTTAGACCAGTGCCTTGGTTTGAAGCTTCTAGATTGCAATAGGACAATTCTTATGGAATTTCTATCCTGTTGCAGAATCACCTTACTGAAATATGAATATACAAATGCATGGTAACTCTTCTTTTGGAATGCTATCTATGTAGCAGTATTGGATGGTGTCCAGGTTCCTTCCCCACTCTGAACTCTAGGGTACAGATGTGGGGACCTGCATGAAAACCTCCTAAGCTTACTTTTACTAGCTTAGGTTAAACTTTCCCAAGGTACAAACTATTTTACCTTTTGCCCTTGGACTTTCGCTGCCACCACCAAACGTCTAACCGGGTTTATTATTGGGAAAGAGTCGTTTGGAAACATCTTTCCCCCCAAAATCCTCACCAAAACCTTGCACCCCCCTTCCTGGGGAAGGTTTGATTAAAAATCCTCACCAATTTTCATAGGTGACCACAGACCCAAACCCTTGGATCTTAAGAACAATGAAAAAAGCATTCAGTTTCTTACAAGAAGAATTTTAATAGAAGAAAAAGTAAAAAGAATCACCTCTGTAAAATCAGGATGGTAAATACCTTACAGGGTAATTAGATTCAAAACATAGAGAATCCTTCTAGGCAAAACCTTAAGTTACAAAAAGACACAAAGACAGGAATATCCATTCCATTCAGCACAGCTTATTTTCTCAGCCATTTAAAGAAATCATAATCTAACGCATATCTAGCTAGATTACTTACTAAATTCTAAGACTCCATTCCTGTTCTGTCCCCGGCAATAGCATCACACAGACAGACCCAGACCCTTTGTTTCTCCCCCCTCCAGCTTTGAAAGTATCTTGTCTCCTCATTGGTCATTGTGGTCAGGTGCCAGCGAGGTTATCCTAGCTTCTTAACCCTTTACAGGTGAAAGGGTTTTTCCTCTGGCCAGGAGGGATTTTAAAGGTGTTTACCCTTCCCTTTATATTTATGACAGATGGTTTAAGGGATTAGCAGAAGAACAGGATTTAATCTCTAGATTATTAAACCTACACTAGTCCAGGGGATTCATTGGCCTGTCTAGTACAGTATAGGTTTTTGACAAAAGGGTGCTAGCTCAATTCATGAGAGGACTAGTCATGTTCTTATCGTGAGCAAGGGGGCTCAGAAAGTGGTGTATGCAGTCTGTTCGTGGACAATGGCAGCAGATGGGCAACATCCAAGTCTTCATTAACTATGTTCCCCTTGAGAAACAACATTTTTTAAAAAAAGGCAATTGAAAACTGCTTAAGGTAGCTTTAACTTGCACCTCATTCACTCTGAATGTACTGGATCCTCGGCAGAAATTGGTGCCTGGGTAGGGTTACTAATCCCTGGGAGAACTTGGGGTGGATCAGTGACTAAGATAGTAAAAAGTCTATTATTTATATGCTGGTCACATTACTGGTCTACTGACTATGCATATATTGGAAGTCATCTGTGTAGGGTTGTGTACTGTTTATCATTCAGGGGTGTGTAACTAGTGTGGGGGCACTTTACTTTTGAATTAATGTTTCATTTAACCAATGTGTTCTGAATGGGTCAAATAGCTGTTATGGGTTTGGGCCTTGGTCTTTTTTTACTGTATTTCTAAATTAATGTAAACTAAATTTCCACTCTCCATGAAAATGCTGTTGCCAATCATACATGTGTATGGCTGTCCAGCAACATTAATGCTGTGTGGGCAGTGTCATTGGATAGGATGTTAACAGTGGGAGCTGTTAACATTCCTATTTGCATCATCTGTCCAATCTCTTCTCATGCAC